CACCCCCACCTCCCCGTCAAGGGGGGCTAGCACATGCCCTTGGACACTGCCATTTCTCTCTCTGATATAAGGCCAAAAAGGTGTCCTAGCCCTGGCTGGTGAGCTCAGTGGTTAGAGTGGTCTGCACACCGAAGGGTTGCAGGTTCAATTTCGGGTCAAGGGCACACAGCTGGGTTGCAGGGTCAGTCCCGGCTCCAGTCAGGGTGCATGCAGCAGACAACCAATGGACGTGTCTCACATCAGTGTTTTCTCTCTCCCCACCTTCCTCCCTTCCACTCTCTAAAAATTAATGGAAAAAATACCCTCCAGTGAGGATTAACAAAACAAACAAAAAAACCCAGCAGGTAACTATCCAGAACTATAGCTCTCCCAACAGGGAAGAAGCCTCATTAGCACAGAGAGTCACCAGCCAAGATGCTCAAGGCTCTCCCGCAGAAGCCAGGCAGCTCTCCACACTCTGCTCCTTGCTTAAGTGAACTGTTCAGTCCACACCTAGTGCTTGGTGATCCCAGGAGACAACTTACCCTATAAAGGGTCTGAATATTAAATTAATGCCCAACTCTTCTGTAAATGCCCTAGGAACTGGGCTCATGGTCTAGGCCCTTCCTCAGCACTGTTCTTTCTCATCTTTCTTTGTACTTTTAAACAGAACTGCTTAGGTATAATATTGCCAGCCCGTGCTTCATCTCTAATTTCCATCTCTACGATTCCTACTGACATGTCATCTCTCTTCTATCCAGTTTTCAAAGAAGGAGAAAAACAGATTGCGAAGACCCATGTTGCTGGGTCAAAGCTCTAGTCCTGATGTAAGCTGAGATAAAGCCTCATTTGTGCAAAACACAGGGAAGGGTGAAATTAACATTTAATATCATGTTAAAGCCTTCCGTGCCTGCTCCTGAACCCTGCAGCATTAGGGAGATTGAAGGCTTTTGCTGGTGAATAGACACCCGTCTGGGGTGTGCGGATGGAGGTGAGGACGATGCTCTTTGCTGGGCTAGCCCTCCACAACCACCTAAGAAACCGACTGACCTCTTTTTGCCCAGGAGACAGTCTCCTCACTGGAGTGCACGTAATCTTCAAACACTGTCTGCAAGACCGTGGCTCGCTCTCGGATTTCCTGGGGGCCATCGGCCTGGGAGGGTAACGGAAGGATTAAAAAAGAGACAGAGTCAGAGTCAGGAATAATGAAGCAGTTTATAATAGATTTAATAACAGTAAAATCACACAGTAACCACCTCAGGGCCAACAGGGTAATCCTTTCAATATTACTAGGGAAAAAGGGAGCTCTAAAGATGTTAAAGTCAGGCAAAGACGAGGATGGCTTTGTGACGAAGCAGATCAGATCTGCGTATTTATTTATTTACTTTCCTTCCTGGCCTCCTATCACTCATGTTCAAAATGAAAGTCCACTGGAGACACTTGTAATTTTCCAGGTCCAATTCAGGCATTTAAAACATCACGGAAACTAAGCTGTTTTCAAATGACTCTTGTATCTCCTACTTAGGCGCCGAGTCTTTCCCCTTTCCCTCGCCCCCATCCACGGGGCACAGTGATTCCTCTGTGCGAGCATCCCATGGTGAGCTCTCTGAAATTCGGCCCACCCTGGGATTTCAGAGCATGTCTCCTCATTCCCAGGCTGGTGCAGATTCATTCTTACAGCCCAGAACCACTGTGCTGAGTTCCCAGGAACCTATCAAGATATGGGCTGTTCCAGCAAACCATCCCCTATTAGAAGCCACACCTGTATGCACTGAAAGACCCTACAGAGGGGACGGGTTAATAAAATAGCATTTTCTTTTCAACCTTTAACCACTGCAGAGAAAAGATTTCTATTCTTTATAGCACACCTCCCCCAAACAAGTGGTTTTTGTTCCTTATACTATCTTAAAACAAACATGAATGCTTGAAGGTGAAACTGAGAGGCTAAAGAACACGCTCTGCAGCCCATCTGGCTGATACGTTGACTCTGAATGGTGCTATCAAGCCTCTCCTGCCCCCCCCCGGTGAGTCACCACGAAAACTAGCGAAGCCCAGCGCCTGGCCTGGCTGCCGTGCCTGACCCTGACTACCGTGTCGCTCACTCTTGAGAGCTGTCAGAGGAAGAACAAAGGGAGAGAAGAAAAAGCCCCATTCTTGGGAATCGACATTCATCTCTGTATTAAGAGAGACTGAACACCCTGAAAATGTTTTTGGTTTAGTCAAATCATTCCTACTACCTGTTTGGCTGATGACAGCCAAGCTGATTTCACAGTACACGGTCCCCCTAAGGGTATGCTCCACTCAGATGTCAAGAGAAAAGTCATTCTGGAGCTGTGTTACGAAAGTGGACATTTGCTGTTGTCATTAACAAGGATTTTTTCACCCTCTTAACTGATGTGAAATGCAAACTTTCTGTGCTGCCCTCCTTTCGTTAAGCCACCTCCGCAGTGCGACTGTCACCTTCCTCGAGTTTTTTTAAAAAATACGAATGTGAAATTAGCGAGGATGCCCTTTCCCCTGGCGGACAGAATCCTCTGTTATTAAAAAGTAAAGCACTTTAATAATGAAAACTTTTCCCTCTTTTTCCTGTGTTTTAACTGTTTAAAATTAATGAGAAGGGCAGAATGGCTGTCAAAGCGATATTGAAAGCCGGGCAGCCAGGACCGACTAAGCACAAAAATCCCTCTAGAGTGTTAAATAAACAGAGCGCCAGCCCTCTCGAATCCCTCTGTTGGTTATTGTATACATTCTGTAACAGCTCTCAGAATAGATCTGAGAGCCAGGGAGGCAGAGAGGTTTCAGAATTCCAATAAAGGCCTCAAATTAAAGACAGCCTGGTGCGAATTCCAGGAGAAAATTAAAGAGACCTCAAGCTTAAGTGACAGGTGACTTGCTTCTGTGACACAACTGTCAGGGGATTTACTGATAATATGGCAATATATTACAAAGGGCTTTTCTTATTCCCCCCTTTAGGTTTCAAAATGAGGCATCTTTTCTTCCCAGCCAAAAAAAATTACATATATACACGTATAAAAAATGCAAGTGTGTGTACAGGTGGAATACGTAGAAAAAGGCCTTAAAACTAGGTTCACACGTCTGAAGTGAGGTCAGCTTCAGGAAAATAGGAGAAAAAGTTAATGGCAGAAAATATAATATCCTTGAGAAAAAGTGTGTCTTACTACCCTCACCCGTTTCCAGAAATACTTTATTTTAAAATTGCCCCTCTTGAGAATGAATGAGGCATTTTTTAGTTGACTTCTGGGGAGGACAGTCTAAATTTAAACCAAAGACAGAGGGGCAGAGTGACGCAGTACCAGCTCAGCCCCAGACAGGTAAACTGCTCCCATAATGAGAGAGGGTCAAGCCCCTGCGGGCACGTGAGCCCCCACAGGACCGGCTCTCGCACCCTCAAAGACACACAGATTCAGCACTGGCTAATGAAGCCAACCAGCACCTAGAGGACCACAGGCAGGTTGGAAACACATTTCCAAAGCCTGCACTCGGCACTCCCTGCCTGAAAGACCGGACTGGTCTTGGAAAGACCAGACGATCAAAGGGCACTGAGGCAAGGGGCTAGGGATTTTAATTTCAGTGTCTTGAGATACCAGCAACAGCTTTTTGTTAGGATAAGTTTACAGGCATATTTCACAGGACAAAAGAACTCCAGGGAAAACATGTTTGCATGCGTGTATGTGTTTAAGATAACAATCCCACACGTATCAAGAGGCAACAGAGGAGTTTATGATAACTATGACCAATTATTGTCATTGTAAAAAGTTTTAAGTGGTAGCAGTGTGGGGGGGAGAGTGGCTTTTCTGAGGGAAGCATGTCTTGATATTGCCAACTTCTAAAGTATTTTAAAACTAAATGGAAGGATTTTGTTTTAATCACTTTATTGGCAACCTGAGTTTTACCCCCCAAATCCCTAGAAACTTCTGAGTGCGTCCCAGTAAAGTTGAAAGATCAAATTTATTCTCTTTGTAGGTGGATGAACAGTCACACACCCAGGCATAGCTATATATATTTTATGTACCTAAATATGAAATATACATTTTACAGATGCTTCACTCGCCTGCTTTCTGTTCATAGGAGCCCAAAAACATACGTGCCAAAGGGACATTTACAACAGGCTTTACCCAGCGGGTGGGGAGGGCATCTAATGAAGCGCCCGGCTGTGCGCGGGAAAGGCCCGTCCACTGGGCCTATTCCTACATGCCCAGCACTGGCTTGTGTTTTAGAGCTGCCCCAGAGGAAAGCAGCCCACGAGAGCTGCTGCACTTCCTACAGGAAACAGAACTAAAAGCTGGACCCCGCATCTACTATATTCCTTCTACTACTCACATGGGTCATGCACAAAACACTCTCAGGCTGTGACAATTAGTAATATTGTTGATTGAGTTTAGTTGTTCATCCTCTTAATTCAAGTTACATGAGGTCAAACGAGTGAGATTTTCATCAACATGACACCTAGAACCCAGTATGATTAACTTAGTTTTCTAAGTTAACTGGGTGTTTTGGTGTAGTTGAAAGCCCACCCTTGTTTAACACTTTTTCTCTTTAAAAACAAAGATCACCAAACCTTAAAAATATCAAAACACTCTATTCATTCTGTGCCATCAAGGCAGGGGCCCGGGCCTAGGACGAACTTCCACGGTGTGCAGGGTTTACAGAGTGCTTTATGCTTCGTCTCATTTAAACCTCCCAACCACCCTACAAGACAGGCACTCCGGTTCTCCCCATTTTACAGATGGGAAGACTGAGGCTGGGAGAGGCTAACTGGCCCACAATGCAGAACCACAAGCTGTGAAGAAAGTACTTAAACCCTAGTGTGTGTGACCCTGGGCCTCAGCCTCTGGGCCCAGCAAGGCTTCAGAGCTGGCCTCAGTCCAAGGCAAAGGCTCTAAGAGGAAAACCAAGGCTGCAAGGCCCCAGAGGGCAGATGTTAGAAAATGGTCCGCTTGCTCCTAAGGAGCAGAGGAGCCGCAGCTGCACCACTCCTCCTCCTCCAGGAATGTCCTTCAGGAGGCCCCACGGATACACAGCACGACCCAGGGTGGACACCGACACCAAGGCTGGGCTGGAGTGTCTCAGTAAGGAGTGGACTGAGTGACCCTTCCTGTCTCAGCTGTGGTCCTACTGCTGTTTCTGAGGAGCAGGCAGATGCTGGCATTTCTCTCGTGGTGCTACAGCAGAAGGCTATGTGTCACCAAGCGGGCTCTAGCTCCACATCTACTAACTGATGTGACAATAATGATAACAATTAGAACAGCGGCAATATCAACACAATGCCCTTTGCTACCTGTGCTGGGCTCTGGGTTACTTCTTATTCCATCCTGCAGTGTCTGCAGGAGAGAACACTACCGTTATCTCGACTTTACACATGAAGAAACTGAGGACAAGGAAGGCCCAGGCAGTCTCAAAGCCACACCACCGGGAAGGGACCAGGAGTGAGCCTGAGGCCATGCTCCTGCCCACTCTGCACACCTCAACCAGCTCCAGGGGAGGCATATTGGTGTACAGATTGTGTGCTTTGAATTTAGATTGCTTGCGCTCACATCCCAGGATGCATAACTAGTGTGCCCGTCAATATCCCTTCATCTCTGTAGACTCAAGTTTCCTCATCTATAAAGTGGGTGGATTAAACTGGACCCAGCCTGTGAAGAGCCTCGCATAGTCCCGAGTCCAGAACATGGAGAGGTGACAGACACTGTACTATTTCCTCCCCTTTCCTTACGTATTCTCTGGACCAAGAGAACTTAAGTCAGGGCCAATCAAATCAAGTCCCTGCTCTGGGGAGGATATTGATCTAAATAAACACACGTACTAACAGATAAAAGAAATTCTTAAGCTTGGTCTATTTGGCTCTGATTTTCCAGTCTATCCTCAGGCATAAGAAAATAAATGTAAAATATCCAAAAACTTAATATTTCATAGACAAAATTACAAACAGCAACACCACACATACACACGCTCACACTTTACTTTGTGTACAGCACACATTAAACAAATGGATGAGCTAAGTGTCTCTGAAAAGAGACGTGCTGTCTTGGGTGGACACAGTCTAGTCAGTTGTCCTTGGTGACAATCTGGAGAGGGTCCACCAGGCTGAGCGGGGAACACTGCCTGCAGACGCGTCCAGCCTAGAGTGGCCTGGTTTTGGGAAGCCTGCTGCCGCCTGGCAGACTTCCAGGACAGACCATGGTCCATTCACTGGATGAGACCAGCAAGCACACCCAGAAGCAACAGAGAGAAAAGACACAATCAGATCTGGCCTCATCTAATGTTCCTGGTTCTCCAATATGCACTTTACCTGACAGGAAACAACTGTCGGTAACAAAATCTCCACTACCCCAAGTTGAGAAGTGAGTCACATCTGTTAGCAGCAAACACAATAATAAAACTCACCTGGTTTCCGCATCGTCTCCCTTGAAAAGTATCATCCCTTGTCAGGACAGACAAAATATCATCCATCTTCATCTCAGAAACGCTGTAAAAGAAAGGGCAGAGCAAGATAAACTTCTCGTTCTCTCAAGTCATCCACGCTGGCCTATTCTCAAGCCAGGCATAAAGCAGGAGCAGTACTTCCCAGGAAAGGGACTATGCTCCTAACCCTTCAGGAACCTGGAAGGAAGGGGACCTCATGATATTACAGGGGCAGGTGGGGAATATTTCCAACAAGTTCCTTCCTCCTGGGTGAATATTAAGTGGGTTGCATTTATAATTTCCTGCATAAGGATCATGTCATTATTTCTTTTTTTTGTGTTTGTTTTTCATTATTTCTTTTTTTCAAAAATATTTGAGAAAGAGAGAGAGATACATACAGAAACATCAATTTGCTGCTCCACTTATTTATGCGTTCATCAGCTGATTCTTGCATGTGCCCTGACTGGGGATCAAATCCACACCCTGGCGTACTGGGATGATGCTCTAACCCAATGTGCTCCCCGGCCAGGGCAAATGTCATTATTTCTTATGAAACCTCAAATACTAAGTAAGTAGGTGTGGTTATTGATGTATTACCCTGACGAGCAGATGACGAGATAAAAACATCTCAGATAGTTCCTTCTGTTTTGGACTTAGGAAAGGCATGGGGGTGGCAGGTAAGCTAAAGATCCTTAACTGTTGGGGGGAATAAGCCAGTGAAGGTGAACTGGGGCCCACCACCTGGTGTCTGTACCCCAGAACCCACTTCTAATCCACCCTGAAGGATCTTCATGACTCTTGTCTCTTAATTACTAAGGGTGAGGACCAGTGCTCTCTGATGAATCTAGAAACAGCTGAAAGCAGAATTTGGGCTTTGGTCGTGACCAGAGCCATCAGGAGCCGAACAGAGCTGTCTGACCTGCCGGGCAGTAAAGTCCACAGCACTAGAGCGTGGGAAGTGCGTGCATCACATGTGAGAGACTAAAGGAAATGGAGTGGCTGACGACGCATCCCAGGGAGGAAGTAAAGGGAAGGGGGAGTGCTGGGGGAGAAAAACAGATCACAAAAAGATAAATAATTTTCTTGTATGTTGTTTTTCAAAAATGTAATGGCAGATTAGCATACCAAGAGCAATCTCTTCTGTGGGACCAGGCAACGCTCCCCCTTTCCCCTAAAGGTTACTCTGCCAAAGCCATGAATGAAAATGTCATGTCTCTGACAGCTATTTACCTGAAATGTGTCACCGCTTCCCTGCACGCCCCAGCCTGCAGCCCCCTCTGCTGCAGCTCCAGGCCCCACGGATACGTGAAATCTTTGTATAGCAGAGAGAGTCAGCCAGGAAGGCGGAGTACGTATTGGAGGAAGGAGCTGGGGAAAATGCTCATGATTTCTTGGAAAATCTATTTTTCATACAAGAGAGAAAGGTTATGGCTTTGAATTTGCCTCTTATTTATGCCTGGTTGTCTGAAGGAGGTGAAAACACAGCCCAATCCCATCTTTCCCTTTGTCTACTCAACTTGCCTCCATTCATCCCTTTCTTTCTTGTGGAAAAATAAAGGAGAAATAGAAATTAAAAGAAACATGAGAACATGGGGTCAAATCTCAAACAGGGAGAAAGAAGAGCCAAGAATGCCCTTCAGTCAGGGATACAAAGAACTAAATATGCCACAGAAAAGCCAGCTTTTCCAGTGCACGGCAATGCTGACATTCCTGCCAGGCCTGCTGCTCTGCAGTGTGTCCGCATGACAAGGCGGGGGACCACTGGCCCTCTGCGAACAGGGCTGAGTGTGCACCAGAGTGACTTCCAGTTTGAAAGGGCCTTCCTCCTGGTCTCAGAAACCTTTCCTTCTGAGGAACAAAGTGAAGTTGCTCTGCTTACTTATGTTTCTAGCAACAGATCTGAACTGCCCACCTTACTAAGAAAAGAAGCAGATAAATAAATAAATTCAGGGAACTGTCTCATGCCTGATCTAAGAAACACACATTCTGATGAAGTATTTACATTTTAATAAACCAATGATGACTTTCATTAGAAACACATTTAAAGGAGAAGTAGGGAAACTGAAGGAGCTGGCAAATACAAAGAAGTCAAAAGGATGTAGAAATAGTCCTGAGCATTCAGACAGGGGCAGAAGCGGCCCACGGCACCTGTCTCTTGCCCCGTCTGCTAAATCGAATTGTCAGGGCAAGTTGCATGGTGCAGAGTGTGAGGCAGGCAGCAAGGAGTGTGAGGGCCCTTGCTGCTGTCCCGAATCTTTCCTGTAATTCATCAGCCATCCCAGCATCCCGCTGCCTGGCTCTCAGATTCTTGGCACAAAATATACATATATTCTTTCTCCTTTTTAATTTTTAAAGAACATTTAGGAGTTCCAACCTGGCCAGGTAGTTCAGTTGGTTAGTGTTGTTCAGATACTCCAAGGTTGGGGGTTTGATCCCTGGTCAGGGCACATACAAGCAGCAACCAATGATGCACAAATAAGTGGAGCAATAAATCGATAGTTCTCTGTCTCTCTCTCCTCCTCTCTCTAAAATCAATACATTAAACTTTTAAAAAAATAAACATTTAGGAATACCTTTTGGATTCATAAAATGTTCAAGTCTGCTTCTTTCCACAGTGCATTCTGCCGTTAGTTCTTTGAAGATTTATTTGTATTAAGTCAAAGAACAGTCTATACTTAGATATTCAACATACAATACAGCCTACCTCAAACAGACCAGAAGCAGAGCGCTGGGCTGTAGACCAGAACTCAGGTCTGAAAGTTACCGAGGTCGTTCCCACTAGCCCAGGAAGCAGTCTGTGCTCCAGGAAAAAGCACTTCCATAAGTGGCTTTTTGGGGCAGAAACCAGCGAGGTTGGACCCTACAGGACTCTTTCCCCTTAAATGAATGTCCTTACACCAGCTGGTATTTTCTCTCCACAAAAGACTAAACTCTCTTCCTCTTAGTATTTCCTTGTCTTATCCTTCTGAACTTCCTCCGCAAGTCTACGATTAAGCTCTCAGTGACAAATGATTGGTCCACATGACATTTCTCTATTAAGCAAGATAAAATATGCACATCTTCCTGAAACAAATAAAAACACCCTCTCAACTGAAAAACTGTATTAAGGAGGTCAGGCACATTTCCTGAATAAGCCATAGTCCATGAAAGTTCATACCAGCAGCCCTGAAAGAGAGCTGAGCACGGTGAGAGCAGAACCCGGCAGGTACTGGTGGGCACGGCCATACACATCCCTCTCTCCCACTGGGTGGTCTGCACTCAGTCGCCCACAGCAGGTTCCCATGTGGGCTGCAATGATTTCCCAGGGGAGAGCCTGATGCTTTACAGAGAGCACAGGCCAGGGCAAAGGGAAGCACCAGGAAGTGAGACCCCACGCTCAGCTGCACAGCCCAGTTGCGGCTGGTGTTACAGCGTGAGCTCTCAGGGCACCCAAGCAACCACCAGCAGACACAGCTCTTCCGGGGCCTCCAGGACCCTTTGTGCACAGCTGTGCTATGTCCGAGCAGAAGTTCTGGAACGTGGGCTAGGGTGAAAAACAGCATGCCTGCAGAAGCCTGCTAGGAGATCTTGTTATGTCAGGGCCAGAGATTTTGTGGGAAATAGGACAACAATGCATTTCTGGGGCCACTGTGAATTCTCTCTGCTCACGTTGGAACGACCCCTGGAGAGCTGCTCTCACTGTTATTCGCTTCCTTTGTCTTTCCTAAGTGAGGTCGGGAGTCTGATGGAAGCCCCTGACTCAGCTTCCATGCTACTTAGTCCTCTGTGCCGTGACAAGGGCCAGAACTGGGGGCTTTACACGGGATCGGGAGGCATCGGCACCTGACCAGGCTGACAAGGTGACAGCTGGCTGAAGCCGCCTGTGGGTGTGCGCAAACCCCAATCACTTTCTCCTGGGTTTGCTTTCCGGAGGGAAGGGGAGTTGTGTGATGAGTAAAAAGTATTATATTTTTCAAAAATAAACCAACTTTAAAGGAACAAAACATTAATTGCAAGAAATAAAAATTGTGACTAGGAAAGATCTTCATGAATCTGGCTATGAGAGAAACGAAACGGGCCCCTGTGCAAGCAACACGGAGTGCGACAGATCGCCCTATGACTTAGTCTCGCACTGCAATGAAAGCTGTCATGTGCTGATGGCATTAAGGGTTTTAGTTGTTGCCACTGGCTATTCTGGGACTCATTTAGGGATCACAAGGGTTAATGGCTCTTCGTCAGCTTACAAGGCCCAGCCACTATAAGAAGCGACAGAAAGTTAATTAGGTGAGATCAGCCGAAGCCCGTTCAGGTTTCTGACTCACTTGATTTTGTGAGAAGCCAGCGAGCTGACATATTCTGCCTCCGAAGGAACCAGGAAGAGCAGGCTGCTCCCGCGGCAGCCGATGCGGGCGGTTCTCCCAACCCGGTGGATGTATTCTTCGGGTGAAGATGGAGCGTTGTACTAAAAGGGGTAACAGAAACGGAGGCATTCACAGATCAAGGGGCTGCCGTTAATTGGAAGTGCAATACCCCTCACCTGCCTCCAGGTATCCCAGGAATTAAATCCTGGTGCTATGGTTACCCTAACACAATCACAAGGAGAAGTCACTCAACCCTGAAACTCCTGCTTCATTGGAAATAACAAGGCTCTGACACGCAAACGTGAACAGTGGCCAAGTGTGAGATAAACGAGATGTCGTCTCATCCCAATATCTCATTTCTAATTTTACCTCTCCACAGGTCTCTTCAATTTCCTGTTTGCATCTTTTCACTGAGGTGACTATGCAAGGTGAAAACGTAGGCAGGTGGGGGCAAACTTCTGCAGATGACCACATGACTTTGGCCTACTTCCCTGACAGACAAGCAGTGGGGGTGAGGCCACAGAGGACACTGGACAGGGTAAGGAGCAAGGGGCTGAATACCCTGACCAGAAGTCAGCTCTGTGGCTGGGTCACCAGGAGCTGGTCCCCACCTCCTGGCTGCAGCTCCCTCTGTCCCAGCAGAGCTGCCTTCCCATAGGGACATGCTCTTGCTCCCACGGACAGCATTCCTGAATCAGGGAAAGGGCAATTCTATAACTCAGCAGAATAATCATCCACAGCCTTAGATGTTGTCTAAGGCAAGAACTTCGCCATCATAACTAATTGACCAGGTATTCGTTCTTCCTTTATCCCTCCGCTGGTACATGAATGAAAGATCAGAGGGCAAAAGTGATTACAATACACTGGAAGCCAGGCACACTAGGCCCAATAGTACTCAGAATACAAAGCTCCAGATGATCGACTCTGCGCCTAGCCTCCCACACAAATTGCCCTTGCCTCCTCCTCTTTAACTCGCTCTGTGCCAGCAGGAAAGACGACACTGATTCTAGTCGCAAAGTGGTCACCTGCGGTGCGCAGAGCAGATTTCCCAGCCAGCGACAGGCATGCGGCTGCACTAGAATGTGAATAAACCATGACTCACGAAAACAAGGCATCTGTCCCCTGGCCCGCACTCGGAAGGCTTAAAAATACCGTTCTGCACGCTAACGAAAAGAAAAAACAAAACTAAAGCCACCAGGCTCTAGCACTAACACCTGTACCCTCTGGCAAAGTGTCTACGGCTAGCGGTCTGTATAAGATGCTCTCATGGACTTAATTGCCCCCTGCAGGTCAATGTACAGGACACGGCTCTCAGGAGAGCTGAGCCATCTCCTCCTGGACACAATGAGGCCTCCCAGGGGCCTGGGTAATTCCTGTTATTTTCAGATTGCTGAAACTTTGTGTGTGACATGCATTAGTCTGAGAGCCAGGGAGCTGGCCCCCTCCTCCTGTGATTGCAGTCTGGCTGTTGTGCTGCCGCAGTTAGGTGGGCTGAGTTAAGGAAAGCTGTCAGGAGAATTGTGCAGACAAGGCCGGCTGCTGCCTGGTTACCAGGGCAACACCCAGGAGGGTAATAATTATTCTACTTAGAGCCAACGCATCTACTCATGATCATATATTCCTGCCTCGAGCTCACACATTAACAACTAAAAAATTACCTGAACAATCCATGTGACTTGAGGGAGATCTAAGCCCCGAGCCGCAACATCCTTCAAAACAGAAGAGAATATGGCTTAGGACCAAGTTTCTGAACCATTCCGAGGTCACAGATCCGTTGATGATCTCATGCAAACGAGGGCTCGCTCACACACACACACACACACACACACACACACACACACACACACAGAGTCTGCAGACAGCCTCAGGAAGCCACCCAGTCCATTTGTGGTTCAAAGTTCCGACTAGGGGAAGTGCTCCGGAACCCACGGGTGAGGCGGTCACAACCACTTCCCCACAAGATCGTTACCCGCAGGGCAGCCCAGATCTTTCACAAGTCGTCCTCAGTTGTGCCTTGGAGGAATTCTGAAACATCCAGTGTCTCAGTACTTTTACATTTTATCTGTAAACCACTCTATGACAAATGCATTTGTGGGTTATTACCCCCATCCTGCACCCATCAGCAAAGCGATTGACCTAGTGTTGAGGTGGGCTCCTGGAAGATCACCCCAGGCACTCCCTCGTGGAGGTGGCTGCAAAGTATTTATTGTGCCTTTGCTTACCAGACTCAGAGCAGCAAGGATCAAGTGATGCCTTGCCTCTCTGACAGCTAAATCAGAACGCAGGCCAAAGACAACCAGACAGGCGAAACTATAAAAGCAATGGAGAGTTTACCCTTGCCAGTTTGGCTCAGGGGTTAGAGCATCAGCCTATGGACTGAAGGGTCCTGGGCTCGATTCCGGGCAAGGGCACATACCCTGGTTGCAGGCTTGTTCCCCAATCCAGTGGGGGCACGTGTGGGGAGGCAGCTGATCGATTTGTCTCTCTCACACTGATGTTTCTCTCTCTCTCCCCCTACCACCACCCTCCAAAAAAAGCAATGGAAAAAATATCCTCAGGTGAGGATTTAAAAATTTAAATAAACAAAACAATGGAAATTTCATTTTTCTTTTTGGCTGGTCACCACCTAAAGAGCAAAGATTCTGCTCACTGGCCATCCTGTCAGAGACGAGAACATGGGAATCTTACAGTCTTCAGCAATAAATCTGCACTTGGCATTCATCTTCAAGCTAACAGTAGTAACAAGAATACCCCCAGTCCACACTATCCGGGCACTTACTGCACATCAGACACTGTGTGGAGCATTTTACCTGCGTTATCTTGACGGATCTTCAAAACAACTATTGTTCCAAGGCCATATAACATTACACTGCTCTGACACCAGAGAAGGCACGGTACCTTCCATGCGCCGTTGTAGGAATGCAAAATAGTACACACCTCTATAGTGGGGAATTTGGTACCATCCAGCAAAAGTGCTTTGTATTTGCCCTTTGACCCAGAGCAATCTTACTTCTTGAATTCCATCCTGAGGATACACTGGCAAAAATACAAACTGATTCACACACAAAGCTATTCGTGTAAGCAGTTTGTGACTGCAGGACTGGTAAAAAACACCCACGTTCAGCAGGAGACAGTGGATCTCACATGAAGACACCCGCCCCACAGCCATGAAAGTGACGATTCCTATGGACTGACATGGAGACTCTCTAGGATATATTTCAAGTGTGTATAGCACTTTTGTGTAAGAAACGAGGATAATATAATATACTTGCCCTTATTTCTAAAAGAAATAATAAAGGGAAAACCCCCCAAAGTTTATATAAAAACAGTTACTTGGACAGGAAGAGATGGGGGAGGGAAAGGATGGAAGCTAGACCTCCTCCAATGGGCCTTTTTAATTTTGGCTCTGAGACGATGTCAATGTCTGAAAACTAAAAAGATGATCGGCTGTCCTGCAATAGGCAGTGCAAAGTATGACCTATTCTCACCAAAACAAACCCCTCAAACCTGGGCCTAATTAGGGGTCTAGACCCAACTACCAGCTTATAGGAAATAGGGGGAAAGAGGGGCAATGAAACACCATCACGAGGACACAGTTAGGCAAATCCAGAATGGGACAAACAGTCTAGTTTCTTCCACCAAAAAATTCAAGGAAAAAAAGGAGGTGAAAAACCCAAATCTAAACGAAACATTACTCAGGTGGGGGGATGGACAGGTGTCTTGCAGATAAACTGAGAGCCAACACCGGAAGGGTCGCCACACTGCCACTGAGTTATCTCCAGGCAGAGGACTAGGTGACTTTTACTTTTCTCCTTCCATTTTTTTCTGGTTGTTTTGTTTCCCTTTTAACAATGAATATTTCCCCCCGAATTTTTATTTAGAAAAATGTAACCTACAGAAAAATTGGGAGAGTAGTAGAGTGACCACTTATCTGCCTTCACCTGGATTCACTGATGCTGATCGTTGGGACGTCTGCTTCCTCTTTTCCTCTCTCCAACCACGCTTTTCTGAACCACCTAAAGTACACTGGAAACATCATGACACTTGACCCCTAAATACTTTAGTGCGCATCTCCTAAGTAAAAGCACATCCTCCTACACAACCACAACACTGTATCACCCCTGAGGAGTTCAATGTTGCGTCACATTATTTCCTAATAGCCCAGACTCACATTTCTCCAACTGTACTGCAGATGACATCAGGGCGGTGTGTACTTCCCGGCGCACCCACCAGCTCTCTCCATCGGAAGGTGCCTTTCACTTTGTAATTAGTAAGTAAACTGGGGAGTGAAACTTGGAAACTGTTTCCTAAATCCTTCTGCCCAGTGGTTTCAGCATCTGTTGGTTCTGCTTGTCTGTCTTAACTGTTACGCTGATGGCTGTGAGGCATGACTTCCTGTCTAGCATTCCTTCCTTCCTTCCACTTGAGAGCTGGCATCCTTCTGCAAGAACAGCCCTCCTCCCTCTCCCCTCACTCTTAAGTACCACTAAGGATTCATAGGTATAATTAGCTTTTTTTGAAAAATAATAATCCTGTGCAAAGTTTCTGTAAGAAGTACATTAAAACAATCGTTCCCTACATCCCCCAGGCTCAGAGATAGGACTGAGGGAAGACACCGTGCCGCCATATCCAACTCACCCAGGAGCACTGAGGCAGGACAGGCTTTGTCAGCCTTCACTGGTGACACCTGGGATGGGCTGGTCTCCTTCCAGTGGTGGCCAGGCTGCCTTCATGAAGCGTTAGACAGAAGTTTAATGTACTAAAAGTGTAGAGCACCCACAAGGTATTTTCCTACAGCTGCCACGTGCCCTGGAAGCTGAAGGCTGCTGTCCCAAGCAATGCCTTTGAGAATACTCTTCAGTTCTAGCGAGAGGGGATTGGAACTGCTTTCTACACTAACCACGGCTCAAGTCTTCAGAAAAACCAATGGCTTCTCCAGTATGCTAAGCTCTTAAGAAATTATTTATGTTATTGACGTGCTCTGCAGTGGGAGATTCATGCAGACAATGGGCTGCCCAAGTTGTACAGACACACAGGCTTTGCAGAAAATGTAATGCTCATCAGTTTAGTAGGTTCAACCAAAAAACTCTAATATAGCATCTGACATTCACGAAACTCCTCGAGTATAAATGCGCTGAAGCGCTGAATTAGAAGTGCCCCCAGCCTCTCTCTCTGACTTTTCAAGGTTCTGCCTCCCACCTGGGTGGCCTAGCTCATGACAACCTGTGTGCCACTTCCTGTGTTGGGGTGGGGAGACCTCACTGACAGCCAACCACAGTGAGCTAAGTCACTCACTCCAGCTATTTCTTTAAGTACGTCTTTCCCTTCTGAGCCTAAGTGTCCATAGAGACTAATCTTCTTGGTCTAGGAAGAGAGAGGACTGGACTCCAGTAGCCCTTCTGGACCCATAAGATCTGGGGGAGTCAACTCAGTTCCAAGCCTCAGTTTACACACCTAAAAATGGCTATAAGACCTACCCTATTTATCTCCTGAGGTTATTGTGACGATCAAATGCAACCATGTATATAAACACTGCGAAATACAAATCTAAGTATTGCGCTTTCTGGTAAAAAACTGGGATAGTGCCCTAGCTGATGTGGCCCAATAGTTAGAGGCTTGGACAAGGGGTCCCAGGTTCGATTCGGGCCAAGGGCACAACCCTCAGTTGCAGGCTTGGCCCCAGGCGGGGCGTGTGCAGGAGGCAACCAATCAATGTGTCTCTCTCATATTGATGTCGCTCTCCCCCTTTCCTTTCCACTCTCTCCGAAAAGCAACGGAAAAAACATCCTCGGGTGAGAATTGAAAAAAAGAACCGGGGTGGTGGCAACCAGGCAGTGAAGTGAATACCTCTCCCCTCTGCTCACGGGGGAGAGGACCCCAGAGGCAGGACCCTGCTCCTGGGAGCTGTCAACAGGGCACCAGGACCTGACCTGCTGGACTCAGCAGAGGCCTCAGTCTCTGCCCACCCTGAGAATTTAGATCTAGCCCCACTGCACTCCTCCAACCTAATTAGGGCAGAAGAACCGCTAAAGTCAGTTCTGAAAGACACTCAGTGGTAAGGCCGTGAAGGCCCCGGGCTTGACAATTGGCCGCCTCCATGAGACCGAGGAGTACAGATGGAAGGCAGCTTGCTCAGGTGCCAGCCTGTCAGTTGGATTAAAATGACTCATTTATTTACCCAAGAACCTCACAAAGTGCTTTTACTAACAGGGAGAGGGGGCCTGCGGCTCTCTGAGGAAGGGACGAAGCGAATTCGCCTCTGCCGCCTTCCCGGCCTGCCAAAAGTCATTATTGCCGTGTGTGGAAAGCCATCAGCAGGGTACAGGCCCCCGTTGTCCGGGTGACAGATTGGGCTGCGTAAACAGAGGAGGAAGGAGAGAGTGCAGAAGCTGTCAGAGGCGCAAGATCTTGGCTGGAGCAGCCAAAAAACTGGCAACATGAGTTAGCGTAACTGAGTCAACAGCCAACAATCTCCCAATGATCTTGCCATTAACATAATGAAATAAAGTGGAAAGGAGAAACTTTACCTAAAAAACAAGCCCCCTAGAAAACTGAGAAAGCCTACATTTAGTTTGGGTTGTTAGCTGACATTCTTGTGACTCTTGTGGCCTCACTCCTTTGTCTCCGAGCCTCCTGGCACAGTGGAAATTCCCCAGGAGGAGAGGAAATTAAGAACCACAGACATAACAGTACTTCAAGCAAAGAATAAAAAAAAAAAGGAGGTAGAGGAAAGCAACACAGGTGACGTGACTTAGGTACTGTCTGAAGAACACAGGTGCTGGACAGCCGCTAGTCCAAGACAACCAGCCACAGACCCAGGTGCAGCTGCAGCTGCAAGTGCTCCGATTGCTGGGGCAGGTCACCATGCTCTGGTTACCCAGGGACAACCAGGAAGCACCAGAGTCAGCCTTAAAGCGAGAGGAAGCTGGGACATTCCACTTTCCAGGCTCTCAATAGCATTTCTTTTCATCAATGTAACAGCGTATTAAAGCCACACTCCCTTCCTTTGGCTTAGGGTGTGCTCTTCACCATAACCTGGAGGAAATATTTTGTAGACAACTCAGTGTCTTACCTCTGAATCCTATGATTAATTAAATCCACTTGGGAAAGTGGGCTCTGAACTTTCAAATGACTTCTTCCTGCTAATCACCGCTCCCTTCCTAACTTGGCTTCTTAAATCTACTTTTCTAGGGGACACAAATTACACTTCAAATGTGTCAAGACTTGCTTTCACAAATTGGTCTCTCCTACCCTCCTCCCTTGGCCTGGACTCATGTCACCATGGTCTCACTTGTTTACTGAGAACCCAGTGTACAAAGCCAGGTACCAGGTCCTAAGAAATTTGGTGCAAGAAATGAAAAGATCCTTGTTTTCAGATGTTTACAATCAAGATGACACACACAGACACACACACACACACACACTCTTGACTGTTCCTCATAACAGAATAGAGCAGGGAGGAAGGTGGGGTGCAGGGAGGGATTTTCAGGCAGTAAAGGAAACAGCGTAATTGTGAGCTCTTGTGTGGTGACACAATTCTCACATTGTCACACATGCAGTCTGCTGGCTTTGTTAAAGGACCCTGGGGTGATAAACCAAAATGGCAAAGGTATGGGATAAAGGGGGAGAAATCCCCACGCAACAGTTACCACCACTCCTCTTTATCCGAAGCAGCAGCTCCCCATCTGCCTGTCCCGACGTGGCCCACGTTCCTCATTAACACTAAGGAGGCTCCTGGAGAGCGTTCAGAGAACCTGGCAAGCAACAGGCTGCCTAAAAGGAGGCAGAGTGACAATATCTCCCCCACCCAGGCATGATCTATTACAGCGTGTCTCACACTCCCCAGTCTCAGACGCCAGAAGCATCAGGCTAAAGCAAACAAATACGGCAGCAGTAGAAGGAATACAAGAGTGAATGAAGGACTTATCTGAACCAGGAGGCTGTGCTTGTGTCGTGGCTCAGAATGAGAGAGAGGAGCCCCACCAGCCCTTCTCCAGCCCTTCACCAGAGTAAGGACAAGAGGACACTGGGAGAAGACTGGCGTATTGGCCATACGCTCTAAATTTAGGAAGAAAACAACCGTTTAGGCCTTTAAAACTGAATACAGAGCAGGCATTCCTTAAAAAGTAAATGCATTAAAGAGGCCTAGCAGGCGTTCAAAGAGCTAAACGTCTGTTTCTGCATAGCATGTGATCACCGGGTTACTCTAGTCATAGTGCAATTCCATTGTTGTACAGACAGGGATTTCTCGAATCATCAGTTGGGGATTAAGCTGCATCACCCATAATGGTACAAACAGAGAATGCATTTTAATCTTAAGAGTGAACAACAGCTATGGTGAAGTGCATCCCCAGAGAAGGGCCCTCAAAGGTTTGACTTTCCATCTCAAAAAAGCACAAGACATGCATTCAAACGGCCAGTGCTGCCCTGGCCCATGTGCCTCAGGGGTCAGAACGGCTTACAGCATACCAAAGGGTCACGGGTTTAATTCCTGGTCAAGGACATGTACCTGGGCTGCAGGTTCAATCTCCGTCGGGCGTGTGTGGGAGGCAACCAATCGATGTGTCTCTCTCACATCAGTGTTTCTCTCTCTCTCCCCTCTGTCTCTCCCCCTTCTTTCTTTCTACTCTCTCTACGAAGCCATGAAAAAAACATCAGCGGGTGAGGATTCACAAAAAACACCAGAACTGTGCCAGAGGCGGCGGCCTCCAGGGTGGCAAAGACAGGCCGAGGGAACGGGCCTGAAAACTGCAGGGCAAATGGTAGTTTTAGACAACAGCAGACAAGCTCTGCCCAAGCACATAGGCGTTCCTGTGTGGAGTGATTTTGTTGTGGAAAGACTTTCTCAGCTCTAATTACTCCCGATAGCTGTAATTTACAAGTTTTAGGTGGATAAAAATCACCAAGATTCACACATTTTCAGACCAACAGCTGTCACTATTAGTGAGCAAATCGCTGAGTCTTCTGCACAGTGGCAGCGGCTACCTGTGACAAAGTCAGGTGACAAACCAGAAGTGCAAAGGAACCAGCCACACCAAGAGGCCCCTGGTATTCCCGCTGTCTGTGGAGCTGGTCACAAGGCAAATTGTCAAGAGAAAAAAATTACAACCACCAATTACAGAAATGTTCAAACATCACATGGAGCACAGAATGATACATACCGTGCAAAAAAGGATGCCTGTGCCGGAATGTGCGAATTCACGGAACACTGCTGTTCTTTCCTGCAAAAACAAGGGAAAAGCCTTATAGCTCTGAGACTGATTCCAGTGAGGTGGGCTGCGATTCCCATAACTTCCCAATTCCTTCTGCTGGACCTGTATTAAGGCACAGAACAGAGAGGCCTTGCCAAGAAAGAGGAAGCCGTGAGTCTTCACATCTAACAGGACTCTCCCTATAGGTTGAGGACTGGACTCTGGCAGAGCAGCAAAGCATGGGGGCAGCATGTGTCGGTGAGACTGAGACAGCACCAGGCTGGGCACATCCTCCAGAACAGCCACCCAGGAGCAGAGACAGCCCACAGGGACACACTTTTTACAGGGGGGCAAGAGCAATGAAGAACCACCTACCCTTCCTGCAGGGGAATTTTGTTAAAAGGTTAAAAAAATTACAAACGCCATATATTTTAACTGTAGAAAAGTTGTATTTATGTCGAAGGAAAAAAACACAATATCCCGCTGCTCAAAGCACACCACCACCACCACCAGTAACCCCTTGTTCCCTCCCCAGCCCTTCCTGTGCAAAACATATCCAAGGAGGGGCTCTTGAAAAATGGCCCATACTACTTATACTATAGCACACTCTTAACACATATCAATAGGACATGAGCATCTCGTGAAGACATGGTTAGTATCCCATGGGATGGGTGCGCTACCATTTACGAGTCTGGTGCCCCACTACTGGCCACTGAGGCTGTGGCCAATTGCTCACTGCAACACGCTCTGTAAACATCTCTGGAGGTAAGTCCTGTGGGTGAAATTATTCCCTTTGGGTAAATTCCTAAAGGCAGACTTGCTGGACCAAAAGGAGTATACACTTAAAGGCTTTCCGTGTGAATTGCAAAGCCAGTGTCGCAAGCAGTTGAGACCTGGCCATGTACATCTGTCAGCAACAACCAAAAAGGGAAATAAAATAATACAAGTTTGGAAAAAAGAAAAAAAATGAAGTCTCTCCCTCCACTCTGGCACAGCCACCGTGTCACTGAGGGAACCTCACTGCAGTCCTTTCACATGCATGTGTCATCACATAAGCAGGACCCCCGGAACACCTCACTTAGGACAGTGTGCACTGAGCAATGTCTCGTACCAGACGCTGGCCTATGCTTTACACATCTGTATTGATCCAATCTCCACAACCTTCCAAGCAGGTACTATCATCACTCCCGTTCCAGGAGGAATCAAGGCACCAGGGCCGAGGAACTTGCCCAAGGGACACACACTCAGCAAAGGGCTGGACCGGCACTTGCACCCAGGAAGCTGTTCCAGAGTCAGTGCTCAGACCCTCCCAAGGAGACTGTGTTGGTCCAGTTTGCTGCATGGTCTTCGTAAGGGACCATTTTAATGGATGCACTGTAGTCAAATCAGAACAGTTCCTGAAAGCCGAGATACATCTGAAAACCTGTATATGATAGATCCAGATGTGGGGAAGGAGGAAACCTACTCCTGAGCTTTCATTACAGCCACCAGGCAGCAACTTCACACTGTCACTTCTCCCTGATGCCCATAACTTGGCTGGGGTCGTGTCAATCATTTAGGGAGACCACAGGTCATGTGGAACAGTGGCCAGGATGAGAAGCCAGGAATATGTGATTGGCTGTTTTAGCTCAGTCTGGGCAAGACACTTAACCTCAGTATTTACCCTTAAATACAGATACTCCCATCTTCTTCTATCCCATGGGGAGGCTATGAAGACTACTTTATAAACAAAACCACCTAAATAAAATATTAACAACTGTTAAACTGAAAAACTGAACCATTCCTGAAGAAGAAATAATAATAATTGCCCCTAACATTTACTGAACACTTACTATGTGCCAGCCCTGTGCTAAGCACTTAATCTGCATTAACTCAATGAATCGTCTCAACCACATGAAGTAAGTACTATTATTGGCTACATTTTAGAGACATGGAAACAGGCACAGAAATAAATGCTTTCCTGAAGTCACACAGCCATTAAAGAATAGAGCCAGGAATAGAACCAGAAGTCTGCCTCCAGGGCAATACCCCTATCAACACCCGAGATTACCACCCTATTATAATGAATCTGAACTAATTTCACTACAGAATCTCCTGTATGATCTATCTAAATTCCCAGATCCTTGTGAGGCCACATCCAGCTCCTCCGTCACCCCCAGACTATCCTGCAGGATGCCTCTGGTGAAAACAGACCTAGAGGATTAGGAAACTAAAAAAAACCAAACAAACAAAAAACCCCAAAAACATAAATGGTATCTCATTATGAAATCAACAAACTCAACTGAATCAGAGATACAGAAGGTGAAAACCAAGAGCTTATAAAATTCACCAAGGCTGGGATATTAAGGAAATTATATATAATCTTGTCACAAATAAGCTGTGCCCTTAGTCACCTTGAGAAATTCACTTTTCTGAACCTTCATTTCCTGAATCATTAAAAAAAAAAAAAAAAAAGGTTAACAGACTTAATGACCTTTACTGTCTCTCGTGGATCTAAAAATGTTACTACTTTTAAAGCTGGTTCTAGCCCAATCTTACCCTGATTTCTGGCTTTCCTTCACTCCTTATTTCTAATTGCCTAGTAACCAACCTCTAGGACAAGATGGCCCTGATCTCAGGCCCCATCCGTCCCCCTCCTTGCACAACACAGTGACTTCTGCGCTCTGCCCTGACTCCCTAAGTGGACGGTCTACTCATAGGTAGAGGACTGGGTTATGCAGCAAGAACCTAAAGTAAGGAAAGAATTCTACTCTTCTTCCCAAACAAAAATGTTCCTCGGAGCCGAGGCAGAGCTGAGACACAGAGACCCTCTCACAACTGCAAGCGTTGAGAGCGAGCGCTGCATCTTGTTGACAACGACAGCAGTCATGCTCAGCAGTACCATATGGGAGCCACAATTTAGCTCCATTAATGCTCTTAATTTGAAGACATCAAGCCCTAATTACACACTGGGTACTAAAAAGGCAAAACCCTTCCCTGGTGCCAGCTACTTAGTGGTGCTCCGTTGCCTTAACAGCTGGTTGAGATAGATGCAGGCCAAGCGGCCTGTGAGCTCTCAGGTGGACGAGCCCAGCTCCAGGAGCAGGGGGGCAGAACAATAGGCTCTCCTCGCCCACACCGCCTGGGAGGGCGACAGCTTCCAGTTCCCGTGGGCCGCCCACCCCAGGCAATGCCTGCCCAAGCCTGGCGGGAGCCAGTGCTGACCCTGGAGGGTGCATTCAAGTTGGACAGACCCGGCTTGCTCACCTCCTGGTCCATGCTGCCATGCAGCCGCAGGAAACTGAACAGCGGCCAGCCAGATGGTAACTGCCCTGATGCCGGGGCCCCCGGGCCACTCAGCAGGGTCTGGAGAAAGAGGTGGTAGTGGAACTCCACCAGCTCGCAACTTGAGAAAAAGACGATCACCTTCTGCTCTGTTTCAAACTACATCAACATAAAGAGGAAAAACCACCACACGTTTTTATTAGGTGACACTAAAACAAGTATTTCTCTAAAATACATAGTCAGGCCGGCCCCCACTGGGGAACAGGTGACAGACGGCTTTGAGTTATTTTCAAAATTAACACTGATACTCCATGGTACCAGACTGCAGGAAAGGGAAATGACAGCTATGACCTTGGTCCCATTCCCACACCTGAGAAGAACATGCTTTTGGGTGAGGCTGTATGTCAGCCCTGCTCTTCATTTGCTTGGGCCTCACCACACACGACACTGCCCAGCCCAGGCACGTGCAGCGCATCTTGAGGCTCCATTCCCAAGCCCTCCACATACTGTTTCCCCATGTACCAGAGAGCGTGCCACATGAAACTAACAAATAAATATACAAATACTGGGCGTCTTTCAAAAACGCAAGCACAGGCTCCTAGCTCTCTCTTACATCCAGCACATTCCTACCCTGTGATGTTCCCAACATCAATCCCAGGAAAGATACTTAAGATAGATTTCAAGTTGAACATAATGGCTATCACTGACCTCTGATCTTTCACACAGTCCCAGAACCACTGACTGATGGATACCTACTAGGTCTACATTCAAAAACAGGCTAAAAACTGTGTGCGCGTCTCAACTCATTGCCATCAGTGCCTGATACGAATGACATAGGTCTCTCCCCCCTCGATTGAGCTAAGTCTGGCCCCTAGTCCTACCTTGCACTTCTGCAGGATGAAGGCTGCCAGGCAGACCAGCCTCAGCTTGCTGGGAACCAATACCACATACTGATCGAGACCCTCTGGAATTGCAAAACCATCCAGCTCGTCATCACTACTTTGTGAATCAGAGTCATCAAAATCGGACTCGCTCGTTGAGTAAGACTCATCAAGGCTCTCGTCCAGGACAGAAATACTGACTGGGTCATGTAAACTGATGTCAGCGAGCCGCGTTACACCTGGGAAAAAGTGAAAAGGCAAAAGAGATAACAGGTACACACCATGGAACTGGTCCCATATGCACACCCAGACACACCGCAGAGCCAGACAAACAAGGAAATTCCCGATGGGTATCACCAAGTGCCACCACTGATCTGCCAACTGTCAATCTGGTGGGGCAGACCCACAGATTTCTTCCCACAGCCAACAACCCACCCACACCAGTGTTTCTAAGCTCACACCTGTGGGAAACCAGTGGAGGGGATATTAACAGGTGCCTGCTGCCCACCCCCCCAAAAGGGTTTTGTGGTCAATTAAGTTATAAAAACCCAGGTAAAAAGGTTCCACGAATTCTTTCATAAGGTTTTACAGGCCTTCTCGGGACCTTTACTGTGTGATGGGGCACCATGAATTACCAAGAGGAGATAATGTGTGGCTTTCCCAAACTTTCAAGCACAGAATCCCTTATCCATGGATTCTCAAAATTTGTGTTATCTGGAATACACTGAGCGGATCAGCCGCACTGATGGCATCTGGTATGTGCATATGAAACACAGATGGTGAAACTAGTGAAGCAGACGGAAGAGCAAGGAAGCTGTCCTGTCGCTGAGACAGGACCTGCTATGGGATTCTAGTGGAGTGATGCCACTTCTCCAAGCCCCAGTGTCCCATCTATGAAAGACAGCTAAAAGACAGCTAAGAAGTTCCATCTCACGAGAATGAAAAAGAAATGAGCTTCAAGAACATGTATGTTTTTACATTCCATACCTCTTTAGGAGAAAGGCAGGAGATTGCACTAAAAAATGGACATGGTTGAGAGATCGTCACTGTCAGGACAAGAGCCCTGCTCTCACTGGGTCACAGCAGCAATAAAAACCTCGTGCAGGCACAGATGGTGGCAGCTGGCCTTCCTCGTGGTCCCCACCCGAGGAACGCCTACAGCATTGTCCTGATTTGTGGCCCTGGATCTAGGACCTGCCCCCTCGCCCTGGGCCGTCATCTGAGATGCCTCCCCCGCCCCAAGGCTGAGCGCAGCTGCCCACACACAGGCCCCTGCAGCTGTGTCCACCCTCCTCACTCAGCACAGAGCATCTCTTCACCTCACCTTCCGTGAGAGTCGCCGACAGCAGGACGTTCTGTCGTTCCTGGCACTCGGCATTAATCGCATTGAGTATCACTGTGATAGTCTTTTCAAAACCCAGATCCAAGATTCTGCAGTTTCAAAAGAAGAAATGTTAATCCATGTGAAGACTGCATGTGATACTAGGGGCTTCAGAGTCGCAAAGGAGACAGAAACAGCCCTTCCCTACTGCCTTTCATGCTCTGCGACCAGCCTCACCTGTCGGCTTCATCCAGAACCAGCCACCGGATGCGACTGAAATGAATGTTCTTTGTGGATTTAATATGATCCACCAGACGCCCAGGAGTGGAGATGAGGATATTGATTCCTTTGCGGAGCCTGTTTAAAGTTATATACTGTAAAAGCAAGTAAATCACACTGGGCGGTATCAATAGAAAACACAGGAAAAGGCAAAGGAGACAGATTCGTGTCTAGCACCATGTGCCACAGCTTGAAATCATGACAAATATGGTTTTAATTTTTCTCTAAAGTTTCCCTCTCCTTTAGAATACAGTTGTTAAGGTCTGCAATTATACTATAATCTTAAAACCTTAACTCTGAAAGGAATCTTTACTATGTATTCTGATGCCTTCTACCTGAGTCATAGGTCCTTCCTAGATACATGGTCTAGCCTGTTCCTCAAGGTATCCATGCCAGGGAACCTCTTACCTGAATCAGTTATCCCAGAATGTTTTTCTTAGGCTGAATCCCTGCTATAATTTCCATATAATGGGCCTAGCTTTGCCTCCATGGACTAGGTAGAATAAATCTAATTTGTGACTCCTCAAACATCCTTTATCCCATTAGTCCATGGTAATAAAAGCTCCACTCTCTGGCTGAATATATTCTCCAGCTTCCTAGCAGTGACGTACGACCCTGGCCTATGCTCTAGAACAAGGTAAGAGGACAGAGAAGACGCAAATCCCACGAGCACCTGTAGGGGGAGGTCTGATTGTCTCTGTTCCTGTTGCAGGAAAGTAGATGTGATGGCGGGACCTCTACTACGAGGTAACTCTGAAAATGGAAGCCTCGCTTAGTGGCACAAAAGGATAGAGGAGCCTGGTCCCAACACTGCAGCACATGCCAGCCCTGATGGGCCGTGAGGCTTCTTAAACGTGAAAGAAAAGCAAACCTTCCACATTGTGGGTGGCACTGCTGTTTGCTGCCTGTTACTCACAGCTGAATTGAACCTCAGCCCGTATCTTTAGGTTTCCACTTCAATATTACTACTCAGCAACAGACCACACACACCGTTGGGTGTTACTACTAAGCATTACACTGTAATACAATAAAAATTATTTTAAAAGACAATTTGGAATTTACTTGTTACAAAAAAATTTTTATTGATACCCATTACCAGTTCTAACACAGAATTAGAAATCAATGTTTTTGGGTGTAAAAAGCAAGGTACAAAGCATTATGTAAGCTTATGATCTTGTTTTTATAAAAAACAACAAAACCCCAAACTGCCAATGGGAGATGTATACTGAACAGGGGGACTGCTGAACAGGGGGACCAGAGGATGGAGTTAAGGGCATGACCACATCTGAAGGGAACCCCCTGCAGGTTCATCACTATTTTAAAAACAGCACTGTCTAGAGGGAACTGCTCCCTGCTGACTCAATCTGCCCCTATACATGAGACTAGGAAGCACAGTCTGAGACAGGCTCTCTCCAGGTTGAGAAGGACCAAGTCTTACTGAGTAGGAAGGCAGGACAGAGAGAGTCAAAAAGGAATTAACAAACAAACCTCCCCCTACCTGGCTTTTTCTGATTTTCTCTTCTCTCCTCCCATTAACACTCCAGGCACAATCCAGGTAAATGGCTACAGAAAGACATCAGACCAGAATCAATGCGAAGTCCCTTTACCACAAACACAGAGACGGAGTCCAAATTCCTCTCCTCAAAGGAATCGGGAGGGGACCCAGACTTCTCGCTCTTTGAGGTGTTACTGTGCAGACATGATTCTTAGGCACTGCCACACCCAGGGCCACGGTCTGCAATAGCTTGAATTAAAGGATGTGTAACTACCTTCCAACTCTGAGACAGAAATGGAAGCTTCGGAAATGATTCAAGTAGCCTGAATTAAACACACAGTAGAGTAAGTCCATTGACTTCTTTTTTGTTCTTTTGGGTTAAAATGAAGCCTAAGCACAACCCTCCCCACTCAATTCTCGACCTAACTGGGTGGGCTGGCTGGCTTTGGCCTGGAGCCTCTCTTTCTTAAAACTGCACTCGCAGCCTTTTAAGTTGCTCTGCACTCGATCACCTTGAGGTTGCTATATCTGTGAATGTCCGTATGTGGCTTACTAGTGACTGTGATAAGTAGATTATAAAACTTTAAGCACCAGAAAACACTAGTAATCTTGCTCACTAAAAACAGGTAGTTAGTAAGGTTTATATCAATAAAAACCTACACACTGTACCTGAGAAGAACAGGGATATCCGGGGAAAAAGGGAAATTAAGACTAATTCCTAGCTCTTTAAAAATAAAGAAAAGACTATAGTGTATTTCTCTTTCCTCAAGAAGTCAGGAAAAAAGGTAAAAGTGAACTCATGGCATGCCTTACCTTGAGCAGTTTCTGGAACGTGTCAAAGCTTTGCAGTGCCAGCTGTAAATATTAAAAAATTATTGTTTGTTAAACTTAGACAATGTAAAGTGATTGGTGTCCAAATGTGGACCTCAAGTTAAGATTTAAGAAAAAAGAAATCCTAGCATAGAATCAACTCGAAAAAGATACCTTGATGTGAGAATGACTGTGAGACCTGTCAGTTTGCAGAATGTGGGCAGACGCATCACATCTATTTCTTGGACAGATACAAAAAGTGTTTTGTGCTCCCTCTGCTGGCTCAAATTCCCCGAGTGCCGCAAAGAAGTACAAGTCTCTGGTACACAAAGACGGGAGGAAATGAAGGTGTCGATCTGAACTCAGCTCTCTTTAGGAGAAAGATGCAATTTATATGAAGGGTGAATTGGAAGTGATGCAGCAGGCTGGCCTTTGGGGACTTTAAATGTGATATGACTGTATCCAGGAATGTGCCAAGGCTGAGCAGCAGCTGAACACCAAGAGATGGCCATTCCTCGAGTTGATGAAAGGAAACCAACAAGCCCAGCGGAAACCAGAGAAAGTGAAGATGAACGAGGTTATAACCATTCACCACCATGAAAAACCGTCCACAATCCCCATGCCCACAGACACATATACGCGCAGACTCTAAGAGCCTGCAGAGCCCCGTCTTCACAAAGCATCCTAGGAAGTGGCCGGTTTGTTGCTGTCGAAACTTAAATAGCATTGGACTGAGCTGTTGGGGCGCTGCAGGCTGTCAGAGGCTGCGTGGAACCTCCATTTCCACAAGCAACTCTCTGCAGGAAAGTGACTGCATCTGACAGAAAAAACATACCCTAATCTGAAATGACCTCTGTAGGCAAATAAAGCACACCAGACAAAAGAGATTTCCACCAAGAAAAAAGAAAAATACCAAGAAGCTCAACTTTTAGGAACATTTTTTGGCACAGTAGCCCCCTTTTTTAAAAAAAAAAAGTTCATCTTTAGGACCGAATGCTTTTATTTTCAAACTAAGTTGGGGTGGGGGAATACAAAAATGTGATTATGTAAGTCTCTTTTAAAGACAGAAATGTACAGTGTGATTAGTTTTTCGATAACAGGGAAACTTAACTTACGATTTTCAAAGAGTACTTGAATTTTTCTTGTCAGGAACCAGAGGATGGTTCCGGGCAAAGGAAAGGGCCCAGCGGCTTGTGCAGTAGAGGAAAATGGCAAAACCACTCACAAATTCAATAGGATGCCACTGAAAATACTCGCTCAAGACTCATCCAAACATGAGACAGCTTACCTCTCTCGTTGGCACCAGCACCAGCGCATAGGGGCCATCACCACGCTGTCAACAAGGAAAGAAATGCCCTGAATGAAGGTCACAAGAGTCCAGATGACAGAACGTATGAGTGGCCACATGTAAAACATCAGGAGCAGTCTCAGTAAAAAGGGAGAAGCGTGGCTGGTTGGTTCAGTTGGTTGGAGAGTCGTCCCACACACCAAAAGGTTGCAGGATCGCTTCCCAGTCAGGGCACATACCTAGGTCGCGGGTTCCATCATGTCGGGGCACATACAGGGGGCAACCGATCGATGTTTCTCTCTCCCCTCCTCTCTCTCCCTTCCTCTCTCTGAAAATCAATAAAAACATATCCTGGGGTAAGGATTAAAAAAAAACAGGACAATGCCCACCACCCTCATCATCACGAACACTGTTCTAGGGGTTCTGGCCCATGAATCAGACTAGAGAGGGAATGTGTACAAATCTGGGAAGTAGAAGGCAAAACTGTCTTATTACCAGATATTTTATCCTAAAAAAAAAACCAAAAAAAACAAACAACTAGGTGAATGCAAAATTAATATATAAAAATCAACTGCTTTCTAACACAGAAAGTGAAAAAGTACAAACGAAGGAGAAAAATCAGTTATAATAGCAACAAAAAAGATAAGAAGCCTAACAAAAATGTACAAAATCCACATAAAGAGAATTTTAAAATACCTCTGAGGAGCATAAAATAAAACTCAAATAAATGAAAGATGTATCTTGCTCTTGGATAATACTACATATAAGCTAATTCTCCTTAATCAATCAATAAACGTAATGCAATTTTAACAAAAATGCATAGGAGCATATATATGAACACATATAACAACATATATAACCAAACATGTCTGATTTTAAAGACATTTCTGCGAAAAAACATCAGGTGTTAAAACAATTTAAATCTACAGTAGTTTTAAAAAATTGATACTGGCATAGAGAGTTTCCCGTAGCAAATAGAGTCCAGAAGAGAATCAACTACATAGAGAAATTCAGGAAATAAGATCAGGGGCCTTTTATAAGGGAAAATTGGATTATTCAAAGGTAATTTTATAAAAATGTTAGAAAAAAATTAAGTTCACCTTTTTAGAGATGACATAAAATTCAGAAACTATGAAACACAAATAAATTTTATTACATAAAAATTTAAAATTTCAGAATGAAAATATAATACCCAAGCAAAATCAAGAGTCAAATGACAACATGGGGGAAAATTAACGCCACATATAAGAGAAAGGCCAATCTCCCCACCTTACAAGAAAGGTCTATAATTCAACTGAAAATAAAAATAAAGACCAACAAGTCAAGCAGAAAAATGGAGGACATAAGCAGTTAATTTATGGAAATAATTCAAAATATGACTTTTACACACAAGATGTTCAACTTCACTCCTAAGAGAAATTTAAACTGAAACTATAATACAGTATTTTTCCCATCAAGTTTGCAAAATTAAACAGCTGACAGTGTTGATAAGGGCACGGGCAAACAGGAAGTCTTGTGCACTGTTGGTGAGAGTGCAAATGGTATGATGCCTGTAAAGGTCAATTCTGACATTATCTGTGAAATAAGAATGCAAATTCCACTTAGAGGAATTTCTCTAAAAGATGGGCTCGTACGTGTACATAAAGAAGTGGTATTTTCCAGAATGCAGAGTATTTATAACAGCCCTGTTTGTAGCTTCCACCAATGAGGGAATGATTCACTAACTTACTGTACATACAGCGGAATACTAGGCAGCCCTTTAAAAACCAGGCAGATCACGTGGTGCTTACCAGATAAGAAACTTTCCCCAAAACCTATTGTCATGTGAACAAAAGCAGAGCTCATGACATTATGCATAACAAGCAACCATTTGTGTATCAAACACATGCTTCAATTAAAGGGACAAGAAGACCTGTGCAAGTTCATTTTTGCTTAACATGCAAACAATACCCCTGGGAGGACACACGACAGGCTGGTGACAAGGACCACTGCACCCTACGAACCACACCGCTTGGGGAAGGCGGGGGAGTAGGATGACTTCCTTTTCACTATACAGTTTTTGGTACTGTTTAAATTTATTTGCCATGTACATTATATCTGAAAGTAGTAATAGTAGTAATAATAACAACACAAGAAGAGAATTAAGTAATCCGATAAAGGCCCCAAAATCACCGGTGCCTTGAACCTTGAAAGTGCTCAGTGACTGGATCAAAACAGAGCAGCAGCTAAGTGTAGATGTAGCAGCAAATTCAATCACAAGAATGGTCTTCGTGTTTTGCACAGGAGACATTTACCCACAAGGAGAACAGGATTTGGAACTCAAACTGGAGCCGCCTGTACTCAGCATGTTTGGTGAGGCTGCGCTGGAGCCAGGCAAGAACGGTAAACATGTTAGCACGACAGCATCAGTGAGCACGCTGTGACGGTGGGGGATTCTGACATTTCAAAAGGTGTGACTACACAGACGAGAAGAAAGGGAAAGCGATTCCTCGCAGGGCAGAAGTGAGTGAAGAGATGGATGTGATGTTAGAAAAATCAGAGCCAAAATGACTGAGAGAATGAACGCACAGCAGAGAGGTCCATTCCCATCCCCCAAAGGAACCGAAGACTGCTGGGTGCCTGGAATTTGCTGCTCCCTCCACACGTTTTTTACAGGACAAATCAATCAATTGATCAGTAAAAATTGCACAAATACTACAAAGAACTCCCTTAAGCCCTTCTCCCCACTGCCTTACATGGTATGGATTATCAAAATCACAGTACAATGATCAGAACCAGGAAATTAACATTGATTAAACACGATTAATTAATCTATAGGCCTTATTCAAATTCCATTAACTGACCTACTAACGTCCTTTGCCTAGACTAGGATCCAGCTCAGGACCAGACCTGCATTTAGTTGTCACATCTCCTTTGTCTGTTAACCTGGGTAGTTCTTCAGTATTTCTTTGTCTTTTGTGACCTTAATACTTTTAAAGAGTACTGGTCAGTTGCTTTGTAGAATGTCTTTCCAGTTGGGTTTGTCTGATGTTTGCTTATGATTAAATTTGGGTTATGCATTTTTGGCAAGAAAACCACAGAAGTGGAGCTGCGTCCTCCATGAAACTTGCAGGAGACCCAAAAGGTCCACACATCTCAGCACTGGCAATGCCAACTCTGATCGCTTGATTAGGAGGAGACAGCCAGGCTTCCCAGTTGAAAGGTTACTGTTTTCCCTTTGTGGTTAAGAAGTAACTTGTGGGGAGCTACTCTGAAACTATGTAAACATCCCATTTCATCACACTTTCACCACTCATGTTAGCATCTGTGATGACTCCTGCCTGCAACACTCCCACTGTGGCATCTGCCAAATTTGGACTCATGGAATTTTAGTTTACGGGCTATAATCCAACACTCTCATTATTTATTTTGGCACTCAAATACCAGGTGAGCTCAAGACATGCCTAATTCTGTATGTTCAAACCGAGGAAAAAAACACACGAACCAATTAGCTCTTCTTATCTATTTGTGAACCTACCTCACTTCCTATTTCTAATCTTGCTATTTCCCCTCAAGACTAACCAGGGCTGTGTTTGAGATTCTGGGCCAGGTTTTGAAACACCTATGTGTATGGAACGAGGCAGTTAACTGGCCTCCCAGGCAACGCCAGGAACCCAACTGTGGCCCAGGCACTAACTAAATGTGTTTCACAACTAAAGATAAGTTCTACGCAATGCTCAATACTAGAGGCCCATTGTCAGACTCACTAATTGGGTGTTTATTTTCACATCTACTATTCATGATAAATCACATTTTAATATTATGTTCACCTTTTGTAGGCAGAAGAGCTTGGTTTCTGGCGCCACAGAGGGCTGAGGTAGGAATGCAGTTCCCTATTACTCACCACATGGTCTTGATTAAGTTACTGAACTTCCTCAAGCTTCCATATTTCATGAAAACTTGGGGTAACAGTAATACCGACAACTTGGTGGAGCCGAGGCAGTTAAAGATTCAAGATCACACAGGCAAAGCATCCGGCATAGTGTCTGACATCCGGGGAGCATCTGACAAATGTCCCCTATCGGACCCACTACGATGACGGTGAAATACATTTACTCTGCTATACTCTGGGCACAGTCTTCAGAGGCAACATGCTGTGTAATAAATGAATTAACAAAGTAAGGAAACAATGCTAAGTGAAAGCAGATTCTTTCGGTCCCAGTATTACTGCTGTGCTTCAGTTTGATGGTTTCTTATGCACTCTGAACAGCAGCAGAAAAATACACCTGACACTCACCTGTATTTTTGTTTTCATTGCCTGAAGGGACTGGACCACGGGGATGCAATAGGCAAGAGTTTTACCTTTTAAAAAAGTACAAAAAAGTAATTAAAACCAGAGCCCCTGTGGATGACAGTAAAGGAAAGCAGCCCTGCTCCCTGTGGGCCGCACTGAATCTGGGGAAAGGAAAGAGCATGTCACATGGCCAGGAAAGGCAGAAACGGAGCTCACCTGTCTCACACTCCTTTTGTAAACTCAGTCCTCTTTATAATAAACCACCAGCTTCAGCACCCTTCTCCCTCTAACGCGCGACACACTGATACATTTCCTAAACTACACAAAAGCTCGACCTGAGGACTGTCTCCAGAAGCTAGACAGTCCCCCTCTGAAGTGGTCCTAACCTCTCAAATGCACTGTGTGGTGCTGGTGTGGGAGGAGCCAGGCTGAGCGCCAGCCCCAGTCGCTAAAGACCAAAGAGCAACCTAGGATGGTGATAACTTTGGGCTTCCACCCACCTGAATGGTAGTTGAGATGGGGGAGTGGAGAGCAGCTGAGTGACCATGAAGGGCACAAGAGGGTCAGAAGAGCATGCCTGCGCTGTTCCAGAACATGCAAAAGCAGTGTTGCCTGTCTGAGCAAACGGCTGGCATCCAAACAATGTGTGCTTGGGTTAGAACTGTGTTTAACACCAGAAGAAAACACTCATCCCACTGGAGCAAGGACGGGCAGCTCTGGCCACAGATGGTGGGACTTGGCACAGCTCTGAGACAGGCTCCAAGGAATGAGAGCAGAACTTGTACTTCATGACGGTTCCTGCTCATGGCTGTCAATCATCCCCTTCCTCTCACTGTGTGAACTAATTCAGGGCTCTAATCATAAGTAAGCATGGCCTCCCCTCCCCCAAACAAAACAAAGCAGCCACTACCACAGAAGACAGACATGACTATATAACCTACTCCATAGTAGTGGCCTAGGTACCCTGGGAAAAGTGGTAGAAATTAAATGATGACCGACCTGAGCCCGTCTGGGATCTCACGAGAGCATCTCTGCCTTCCAGCAATGCAGGAATGCTTTGCTTCTGGACACTTGGATCATTAAGAAGAAAGAACACATGGTTATTCAGAACATAATACCGCTCATGCTTACAGGGAGAGGCACAGGACACACAAAATCCAACTGCCCCACGCTCTGGTTATCGACTGCCCCCTTAGAAGTAACCTAGACATTCAAGTGAAGGTGCTGAGAAACTTTTGATGACAAGAATAAAACTTCAGTTAAAGTTCTGGAACTTAGCTGAAATGTTGAGGCAAGCCAGACACTGGCCATTCCATTACACTAATTAAAAACAAAAACAGGACAAGCATGACAACAACCTGGAGCTATCGTGAAAGCACGAGACACGCTCTCTTGCCTTCTGGAAGAGGGACTATGAAAGGAAAGGAAGTAAAACATTAGGGGCAGATCCCGGTGCAGAAGAGTAAAAGGAAGCTGTGAAACCCCCCTGGAGAGCCAGGACTGTTCACACCCCAGAAAACCAAGACATAACTGTAGGAACACACCGAGTCCTGTATGAGTCCGCATACACATTTAAAAACCAGCCACTAGCCCGGCCGGGCATGGCTTAGCGGTTGAGCATCAACCTAGGATCCAGGCGATCGGGGTTTGATTCCCGGTCAGGGCACATGCCTGGTTGCGGGCTTGATCAATGACACTCTCATCATTGATGTTTCTATCTCTCTCTCCCCCTCTCCTTTCCTCTCTCTGAAATCATTAACGACATATTTAAAAACCAGCCACTAAAAAGGGACGGAAATCATTTAAATTTCATTGCCAAAACTGAACAAAACAAATGGTGAGAGGGACTTATTTTATTCTTAATATTCTTACTTTTGCTTACAGAAGTACACACTCAGGGAGCATGCTCCTCTTTCAATACTGTTTCTAGCTTCCAGGAATCTTCATTATTAACATTTAAAAAAAATTCAGTATCCCATTATACCCAACCAAATATTTACTCCTGGTCTTTTAGGTTGACTGTAATTCTTACCACTAAGAAACTGCATGATAAATTCCATATTTTTAACAAATTGTTGTCAGGGAAGCACAACAGTGAGATCTTGTGCAGACCATCTTCTGGACAGAGACCTCTCACAGTTTAGAGCTGAGGGCAGAAATGAAGGGGGAGCCGGTCTCCCCACTTGACAGGTGGGGAAACCAAGTGGCTAAGGGACATGTCAAGCCCTCAACAGTCAATAACCTGGCATTGATCTCTAACACTAACACACAAATTGGCTCATTCCTCCACAGACAATTCAGATTTCACACAATTTTACCCACTTAAGTAATAAGAAAATCAAGGCTGGCTTGGAACTCTTACCTGGTCATGTTAAATACGTTCAAGACTGTATTTAATGTGGAAATCTGAAAGACAAAAAATAAATACTCTTTATCAAATTTTTGGTATAAATATATTAAATATATTTATATTATAAATATTAAATATATTTATACCAAAATATAAATAATATATTTATATTTGCAAATAAGGATGCAAACAACAACAACCCACAGGGATGAAACTGATTGCCATGACCAAATTAAGCTCCTCCAACCGGTGGTGCTCAGCTGGGTCTAGTTTTGCCCCAATGTAGCAACATCTGGAGAAATTTTTGGTTGTTACAACTGTGGGAGGGGATACTACCAGCATCAAGTGAGTAGGGGCTCAGGATGCTGCTCAACACCCTACAATGAGTTACCCCCAAGTGTCCGCAGCAGCCAGGCTGAGAAACCTCTCAGACCTGCAGGTGAGCAGACAAGCTGTGTAACCCACCCTGGAGGAGGAGGGTGAGCCAGGACATGCAAGCAAAGGAAATCACTGAAGTTCATGTATTTTCTCTCCTTTCTCAGAAATAAACATGGAAAACTCACTCATGGTCCAAAAAAAGGGAGAGGAGGCGGGCTCATTTGTTTGTAGAAAATGCATCTTAAAATAGTCTCTTTCTCCTTCAATTCTTTATAACCACAGATGGCCCTTAACAGCGAGACACAGCTCAGTTCCCTCTTATGGTCACCGTGACATCTGCCACCCAGAACAGCCTCAATGCATCTACCCAGGAGGCTGACTTAAAGGAGGCTAAATTAGGTGAGGAAAGCCTTTAGCATTTTTAAAAGGGGTGAGAGCGGGAAGGGGACACGGGGAACGATGCGTGAGCTCACTTGCCTTGTCCGGGGAGAGCGCCTTATCAGTCTGAGCTCACCCAGGTGATTTGAAGCAGAAAGAGCCATGCTTGGACTCCCTTCCTAGACTCACTCCAGGCACTCGGAACGGATAAACATGCCAAACCAACTGCGTGAGCCACGGAGAGACTTACCAGATGTGGGTGGAGGTCCAGCTCATCAAAAGCATCTGAAGAAAATACCTTTTCTTGCACCTGCTTGACCACAGGTCTGCAAATGATGAACAAAACCCAGGCCTCAGTTCCAATAAACAAAGAAAAAGGCAGTAATTAGCTCCTTTTATTCCTGAGGGGCCCTGCACCTGGGCATACCTGTGCAGCTCTGGAATTTCAGGGTTGTTTTTAAACAACGATGAAGTCTTAACGCCCGGCTTCTGCTCTTGGTTTTTCTCACTCGCGCTAGCCAAAGACTTCTTCTGAGAAAACACCTTCTGTGCCTTCCCCTTAAAACTCCTCTTGGCGTCTTTAGCAGCAGTTTTCTTGGCTGGGAGAGAGGATGCTGCGCTCCTCCGTTTGGCTAAGGCAGCCTCACTGGACGCTTGGCGTTTTCTTTTGGTGGCCTGTGCGCGCTGCGTTGTTCCCCCAAGGAAAGAGCAGCAAGAGGTGCATTAGTCCATGAAGACAGACCTCAGAGTGAAGCGTGACTGCCCACGGAATTGCATCTCTCCCTGCAGAGATCATTACGCCCCATATGCCAAGCAACAGTTTAGGGTCTGCAATCAGACTCTTTGACTCAGTTTTTTGCTTCCAAAATCAAAAAAAGAAAAAAAAACCCCACAAAAGCTCAGCTCACTTATATACGAGACCTCACCACCCACTTTAACCGCCAACTCAACCAAAATAAGGGTGAGGATCAGGAAGTGAGAAGCATTTTTTGGGCTGAATATTAACAAAGAAGTCTGTTTTAAGAGAAGAGAGAACCCACCTGGTAAAGTGTGTGTGCTAAGTCAGTACACATCCCTAGGAACCTATTTACATGAGAAGGGAGGAAGGGGAAGGAAGGAATCTTTTTCCTCTACCAACAAAGGCCCAGGAAGTGGAAACCTTCATCACTGCTCCACCCAGAGTGCTTGGATGGCTGTCATGCTCCCCTCAAGCTGCTCCCCCAGATTCAGGTGGTGTGGAGACAATGCCTACTCACCATTTCCATTCCAAACGAGAACCCTGCTCCATCCATCACTTCTACCACAATTATTTCCAACTCTCCTCACCCTGCAAGTCCTCACCTGATCGCCGACTGCAGGCTACACCTGGTGGTGACCAGGTATTTTCTTGCCCATTGCTTATTTCCATAAATTTAATGTGGTTAAGCACACGCTGTCCAAACTGCCCCCAGGAGAAGAAACACCCAATTCCTCTCTTTTCTTTGGCTTCTCTTCCAATTTACACAGGAAAATGGAAGCATCCTGAGGAGCCAGTGCTTGCTACTGTGGAGCTCTGGTTTCTCTGGGAATATGTTCTTTCCCCTTAGCCCGAGATGACTTTCACGTACACGTTGGCATGTTTTAGCTATGACAATCGGCTTCAGACTAACCTACCAAAATCAGCTTTGTTCCTGGCAACCAAAAGGTCTTTTATATCTAAGTAATTCAACAAACACAACTTCAAAGTTTTAATATTAATCATAAGTACTGACTTACTTCATTTTACAAATTTATTTTTACAAAGTCCCAAGTTCATGAATTTTCAGATTAAAGAAAGAGATGAAGTCAAGTATCAGGTCCGTTGAGTCATTTGCAAGGTGGGATGAATACGCAGACTTGACACATTTCGGAACATGGACTCTCGGAGACTATAAAGGTGGAAGGGCCACTCCCACCATGCAGACTTCCTAGGACAGGCTCCCTGACAGGAGTCCTTGCTGTTGCTGCTTGCACATCTCTTACTGGTCTCCAGCCCTCAAGGCAGACCAAATTCTAGGAGTTTAGAAGCTGTTTCTGACATTCAGGCAGGATCTGCTGTCTCAAACATCTACTACCTACAAGCCTGAGGTTTGCTTTCTGCTGCAAAGCGGAACAAGCTCACTTCCTCTGTATGTAATTCCTTAGAACATCATATGACTTCTTTTCTCTTTGGACTAAATATTCCAAATAGGACACAAACTTTAGATCCCTTACCATCCAGCTCACCCTTTATTCCCACGTCAACCTCTCTCTAAAAGCAAGTACTCAGAGTTAAACACAGTATTAGATAGGCCTTCCATCGCTCTTAGGCTAGAATCGAAAATCTGTAATTTGATGTACAAAGTCCTCTAGAATCTGGCTCTGCCCATCTCACCAGTCTCAGCTGTACCCTCTGCCATCCTGGTCATCCTTAATTCCTAGCATGTACCATGCTCCTTCCGTCCTCAGGGCCTTTGCACATGCTATTCCCACAACCATTTCTCCAACCCTCCCTCTGGCTGGCTAACTCATACTCATCCTTCAGATCTAGGCTTACTGGGTCCTCAGAAGAGCCTTTCCTGACCTCCTGCCCACCCAGTCATCCCCCTGCATTGGCTTCTGCCTGGTACAAGGTAAGTGCTCCATTACACACAATGGAATTCTCCCTTTCCACAGTCTGGATACTTTTCTACTACTTGTTAGCTCCCCCCATCCACAATACATTAATTTAAAAAGAGTTGACCACTTAGCAGCTGTCAAGTAGCTTGATCCTTAAGCTACATAGCTGAAAGATCAGTCAACCCCCTGAGGAAGTCACAGACTCATGGAAGAGACAAAAAAGTGTAAAACCGGACATCCAAACCTATAGCTGTGCTTTAGAAGAGGTATCTACAAGGGTTATGAGAGCACAAAACAGGAAAGACTACCAACACTACCCCTATGGCAAGGGGACAGGAATGCTTCAAGAGGTGGGATTTGAGCAGACAGGAGCAAGGACATATCTAGATCTACTCAAAATTAGCTGCACAACATTAAGCGAATCACTTCTGAGTGTCTATTCCTATTCCTGACAAATGACCTCTGGGGCCCATCTAGCCCTAAAAGTCTAGATACCATGTCTTTGATGTTAATAAACATACTGAGTGGATATTACGCAAGGTGGTATGCTAAGTACTTACATGAATTATCTCATTTACCAATACCAGTGCTGATATCACCTCATTTTAAGCTGAGAACACTGAGGAGATGTGAGGTAAGCTGCCCCAGGACCACAGAGCGATCCAGGCTTTGCCCGGGCATCGACTCCACAGCCCAGGTTCCTGACAATAATGCTATAATACCACTTATTAACTGTATGCTGTTTTGTTAGAAAATATCATGAATATCTGATCCCTATTTTGTTTTGAGTTGTTTTCTAAAAGGACATCCACCAAAATATTAACCAGAGTTATGGGTGGTTTTAAAAAAAATCTACTTCTGAAATTTTCTACAATAATTTTGTATTAATTTAATAATACAAAGAAAAAAATTTTAGGAAGAAAATATCCTGCACAGTGTTAGATATAGCAGAATTTAAGCTGTCAAAGTCTTTCCAAATCCAGAATATTAGCTACACATCCCAAGTTCAGGCTACTAGCAAATTTGGTAAGTATATCCATAATTCTCATTCAAGACACAAATGAAAATGTAGATACAAACAAGACCAATGCAGGCACTTGTCATCACCTCATTAATACCCTTTTGAAACAATAGTTCAAACACTCCTAAAATCAGGTACTCCATGTTTATTCAACTCACTCAAAGTTTCAGTAAATGCTTTTTATGTGTCAGTTACTAGGCAAGTACATGGTACAAGCACCCCACTGACCTCCTGATGTAGCAATTCTATTACACAAAATGGAACCGATATGAACTTATTTATGTTTTATCATTGGCATTTATTAAAGGCCTCTATGGGTCAGAAAGTGTACAATCTTTATGTATATTATGTCATTGAATCCTCATAATCTTACACGAAGTAGAAATTATTGTTCTCATTTTATGGCTAGGAAAAATAAGGATCAGAGAGGTGAAGTCACTTCCTCGAGGTCACAGAGCTGGAGTGTTGCAAGGCTGGCGTCTAATCCCAGGTCTGTCCTACTCCAAATCCCATGCTCCCCAGGGCTCTTCTGCGCTTCCCCTCCCCTTCCCAAACCCCCCCACCGTAGGCTAGCTGAAAACTCCTTACTCCCAAGCCTCTAAGTCCTAAACCATGTCACTAAAGAAATCACCAAGGAGAATGGAGGCACCGAGTGTTACCTTATAAGAACGCGAGGGCCCTGGCCAGTTTGCTCAGTGGTTAGAGCGGCGGCCCCAGACCGAAGGGTCCCGGTTGGATCAGGGCCAAGGGCAAGTACCTCGGTGGGAGGCCCCAACCCCGGGCCTGGATGAGGCCAGCGCGGGAGGCAACCAATCGGATGTGTCTCTCTCCCCCACCCCCACCCCTTCCACTCGCTCTTTGAAAAGCAACGGAAAAAATATCCTCGGGCGAGGATAAAAAAACAAAAAACAAACCACCAAAAACACCACACAAAATAACCTCGAGGAATTTCAGCTTCAACACACGCACTGCACTGAATCTTGGCAATGAACTCCTGAACAGAATTATCTGTTGCTTTTCGAGAAAACACGCACACAAAACTTCCTTGGTAAGAGATCGCGCCCTTCCCGGTGCCAGAGGTAACGCGATGGTCCCACAGGCTTCCTGCCCGTAGCCCTCCCCTCGGCTAGCGGATAAGTCAGTCATCCTGGAATCCAGTTCTCGACTCTGGCTTGGCTCCAGTTCAAGGCCTTCTCCCCCCCTAGCCAGGGAATTCTATTGATGAGTTGTACCTCCCCCCCCCCGCCCCTCCACTGCACACGGATGAAATCTATGCCATTTTTTGAAAGCACTTAAAAGAAAGTTCTAGTCTCTGGTCCCGATGGCTGAAACAAACGACCCTCCCAGTCGAGAAAACGGCGGCTGAGAGGGGTGGGTGGTGACATGGCCGCGCCTCACGCCCGAGCCGCGCTCCTAACTTCTACGGAAAAGGCCTCCAATCCCTTCTTCCGACTCCACCAACGGGCAGCCCCAGCTCGCTCCCGCCCCCCC